GACCAGTCCGGCCCTGTGTAGCAGCGAGCAGTGAGTTTGTGCACAGATGGAGTCGCATTTGTCCCGCTACTCTTCTGCAGCCAGCTTGCTCGATGTTTAGCGCTGCTGGTCTTGTTCCCTGATCGGTCTTGTGCTGTATCTATTAATGTCACACACACAAAAAACAGTGAACAGTTTTGTAGCAAGTAGCAGTGATACACAGCACAGGTGTAGAGTTCGTTTGCCACATATCGTGCATGGTGATATATCCAAATGTTTAAAAAGGCAATTCGTAGAGTCTAAGTTTCTCTCTCTGTTCTTGCTCTATGGTTGCTCGGACTATTATTTGACTGATCTACATCATCCTGATGCTGTCGCGTTAATTATCATTTCAAAAATTCAAATGCGAACAGCATGCCAAAGTGAAGTTGAGCTTGTTGGGCTTATATCATCCCACTATCTGATCATAGACCTGGAGGGTTGCTTTTTCTTCTCCAGGTCTATGATTCCATAAAACCCAACATGCCCAACTTCACTTTGGCATGCTTTGCAGTGTGCATATTTGAATTTTGGAAAAAATTGAAGGACTCCAGAGTTATTCTCGTTTTAAGGTTTTCTTTTGTTTGAACAACTAGGCCCTAATTAATATTCATAAGGGATTTAGTACCTGGTTATTTAGTATTACAGCTTCAAGTATGTAGGGGGAGCACATCAGACCCAACGACTTGAGGGATAAACAATTTGTAAGATGTGTGCAAAATCTTAGTGGGCATACAGAAATTAAAAATAAGGCCTACTAAAGTTATTCATGCATGTCATGTCATTTTCACAGAAATGGGCCATGTACATACTGTAGCCAGTGGGCTTAGGTGTACGTAGGTGGTGCAGTCCACTAATTCAAGCAAGAAGTTCTGGCCACCTCATTTTGGAGGCTATACAATCTCCTTTTTCAAAAGATACTGTCGCACTTTTAATGCTAATTAAAAGTACCCCAGTATCTTTTGAAAAAGAAGGAGGGGAATTGTATGGCCCCCAAAATGGTTAGATTGTGTAAATCTTTGCCAGAGTCAACTCCCTGGGTCTTTGGGCTTACATTTGAGAGCAGAATGGCTAAAAAATACTGTTGGAAAAATAGTCCTAAGTGCCCGAGAAAGTTGAGGGTTGTCACTTGTAAAATTGCTGCAAGCAGACTTTGGAAAAATCACTTTTTGGGGGTAATTTTGTTTTGAGGGAATAACTCAAAATGTAACCCACAGAAAATTGAAAAGAAAGTAAAAGATTACGGACCATACAATAATTTAACGTGTGTTTCAGATGCCTCAGGGATGTTGGTACACATTATTGGGCCCCGAACAATGCTGATTTTACCTGGATTTGTGGAGTACATCCCTAGTGTTGATCCTAGCCCTACATGTAGGATTAGTCTCAACATGGTCCTTTCCTTTCTCCACGGTCTCATCACTCTCAACTTAAGAACTAGGCCTATGAATTAAATTCCTGTAAAGTGTGGAATAATAAAAGCAAATCCATTGTACTTACTCCATCAATGTCATAACGGAGGTGTGCCAGCGATTCCTCAAAGACTAATTTCTTGATACACGAAGTCGCGAAAATAAACGGATCAAAGCGACCACCGTGAGCTCATCAGCGACTACATGTACATGACATTGGTACACATGCGCACGTGCGCCCCCGCAACCACGTGTTGTTTGCGGAGTGCCTGTCCCCTCTCACAATGGCCAACACCTGATCGATACTTGAGGTATATTTATCAAAAAGAGTTCCGTACATCACACAGACATCACTTGACATCCCGTGCACACACTTTTAATTATTGAAAAATTGCAAGGTTAACCCTTAATTGTACTTTTTGTAGTTCACTCTGGAAAAATTTGCGTATCCCACAAAGTTTTTTAATAACATGAACTCTTTTACTTAATTTAAACGGCAAGTCAAACTTATGCACATTTTAATCTTGAAACCAAATATGAATATTTGGGTAACTGAAAATAAAACATTTTCATCCGTTTGTAATCTCAAGTTGGAGAAGAAATGAATATTAAAACTCTTTAAAAGAAGAGGCAATATTAACCCTACAGTTTAAATTTGGGAAAATGAATTTGTGGGAACTGTAATGTGTAATTCCAGGGTTAACCCCTTGTAGTTTAATTGTTGAGGAAAATGAAAATCCTGTGAAGTCTTGGAATAAAACAAAGCAGCTAGTTTAATTTTGATTTTAAGAGAAAAAACGAATATTTATGTCACTCTTTTCATCAGATAAAAATGCAAGGTTAACCCCTTGCACTTTCCATTTTGGGAGAAAATATTTTGGATAGCTCTGTAAGAAATATATGAGACTACTATACATTTGGAACTAGCTGCTTTGTTTTTTTTTTCAAAGTTTTCACAGGATCTCCGATTCAAACTAGGAGTTAACCTTGAAATTATATCATTTTGAAAAAGTCCCAAAGAAATTCATTTTCCCAAAGTTTAAATGGCAAAGATTTTACATTGCCTTTTATTTTCTTAAGAGATTTATTATTTCTTCTCCAAATTGAAATACAAATTAATAAAATTTTTTTATTTTTGAGTGACCCAAATATTCATATTTGTTACTCTAAATTAAACTGTGCAAAAAGTTAGATTTGCTGTTGTATTTAAGAGTATTTTAAATTCTATTAAAGGACTTTTCAGGATAATCAGGTATCTCCAGAATGAACTACAAGGTTACCTTGAAAATTGAAAGTGTCCCTAAAAATTCATTTTTTCCCTAATTTGAGCTGTTTAAGTTTTCGAAATATTAATATTTATCTTTCAATAAAAATGCAGGGGCTTAACCTTGCAATTTAATTTTCTGATATTCATTTTTGAAATCAAACTAAAATGAAAAGGTTTGCCCTAACTATTTGATTTCATTCAAGAACATCACACATATTCTTTGATTTCTTTTCTCAATTAATAAACCTGAGCACAGAAAATCAGGCTTAAGATCAAAATGCAAGTGTTTAGCTTACTTGCTAAAATTTATTAAAATTTCCTCAAATATTTATATGTTTCAAAATGACAGCAATGGATAAACAAATTTATTTCATAAAAAATCCCCAAATCTTGTCCGTGTTTTTCACTGCAAAACGTATTATCAGGACGTCAAGCTTTCTATTTCATTAAACTAGTGAACGTCGGATTTCTTACCCGGAAAAGCTGCTGAGGGCAGGTTTTTTTACCCAGAAATTCTTCAACCTTGCAATTGTGCTTTGACCAAACCAAGCCTGAAGCATCAATAAGTCAACCGTGAAAGTGAAAAAAGAATTCTTAACTGAGTGTACAGGTCCTGCATGGAACAAATAAGGAAAACTGTGTGTGTTTACTTGTCATCTGGCGTCAAGTGGTTAAACAAAAACACACAATATTTTTAATTATAAAAATTGGAAGGGTTAAAAAAAGCCATGTCGGTATTTTAATTGTTCAAATATTTTTATTAAGATATTTATCCTTATTTATTTCATTTTTACAGGATGGGTTAAGGTATTGTAACCACGTCAAAAAATGTTGAACAGAATGCTAGATATCCAATCATTCAACAAGTATTTACAACTTTGTTTGAAAATCATTCAAATGGAGGCAATCCATATCCACTTTGAAGTTTAGTACTCAAACTAAACATAATGAATGGTGTCTAGATCACAACACTGAATGGCTGAATTATCTAAACATCCTAAATGGTTAATTTTTATTTACATTCAGCAAAAGGTGAGGAGCAAGACTGTTTTTTGTTACCGAATAAGCCATTTGCGAGTAACATTGGAATAAAATCTCGTATACCGAGTTCTCCAAATTCATGTGAACATAATAAATTGAATTCTCCATACTAAAGGCACTGTTGTTATACCTTATGATTCAAGGCAAGCTTTTGCTTAGTTTCATAAAGGACGCCTTGCACCAATACACTGTTTTCAACAGATAAAAAGGGCATAAAGGAACCGGTCCATTCCAGAGATGGTGATTGCTATGCAAAAGCTTGCCTTGAATCACAAGGTAAAGCAACAGTGTCTTTAGTCTGGGGAATTCAAATTGTTATGTTTATGTGAAATAAGATAGCACAGGGTACCAGATTTTATTCAAATTTACTCACAAAAGGCTTATTCAAGCCAGCCACTCAACGAAAACATGTCCAAAAGATGTTTGTTCTTTCAAATCCGAAATTACTTAAACTGTGTCGGTCTTCATTCAGGAAGTTATAACTCAACCCGTTTGGTTCACAAAAAGGTTTCTTTTTGCTCTAGGAGAACAGGAGCATGTCATATACAGCAAATTGAAAATTCACCTCTGTAAACAGGCAGTATAATTTTGAAGCCCAAATCGAGAAATATATGACATCAACACGATGACCAGAAACATATCTCATCCATCTGAAAAAAACAACAAAAAAGACCAGCTTTTCTTTTACCATAGCTATGACTGAACTGACCAAAGCTTTTGTTTCTTGTCAGATACAAACAGTGACATATATCGATCAAGGACAACCAAGTCGATCAACATGCCGCTAGTTTTTGTCGCAAAAATACTTGGTATCGTCAACACACCATCACTGTTTTCCCAACACGGCCAACTGCATAACGCTCAAGCAAACACGCTTTTGCTTCTGAAAGAGTCAGAAGTTACCGGAACTAGTTTTTGAGATTTAGTCTTGGAAAGTGTAAACTGAGCTTTGATGCATCGCTCAGTTTGGTATCCTGATAAGAAAAAAAGCAGCACTATGTGGGTGAACAATGTTGAAGGTTCCTTCTGATGTTATGTTGTACAAGATTCTTTCTAAGGCCATTAAAGCTGAAGTGGGCTTTGCGATTTCCATCACATATCTGGACTGTTGTCAAAGCACGGGGTGGGAGGCTGAATCTGGCCCAGGAGGGAGTCGGGCCACTGACATCCCCACCCGTTCCAATTTCTGGAGGTCCAGCCGCAGGGCGTGGGAGCGATTCAGCAGCTCCTGGGTGTGCTTGGAGAGTCTTGCTGATCTCTCGATGGGATAGGAGGGTTCCTGTGATGGGTAAGACTGTTGAAGTAAACATTTGAGAGGTGATTTATTCATATTCAGTTATTTGACCGAATATGCAAACAAAGTGGCATGTACAGCAGAACTCTTGGTTGTGCATCTGTCAGCCGGCATGTACTGAACGCGTCAAAAGGACAAGTATACATTTTTTAGCAGACCTGTCTCGGAAAAATAGGCATTTCATGAGAACAGCACAAGTAGGTCCAATATTCACAAAATTGGTGTCAAGATGACTGCAACACGTGACTAGCGAAAACTTCCGAAGGTTCGGCGTGCAAAATATTGCACCGCGACATCGGAGGAAATGTTGACAGGGGCAAGAAGGTGGATTATCCGGCTTTTTTAGAGTTAAGGTGCTACCCTTTCAGAGTATGAGAGAATGAGAAGGTTCAGACAGGCAGATGGAAGGACCAAGGGAACAGTTAGAGGCAAAAGCTCACCATCAGATTCAGTGCGTCCGAAGCCAACTTGTCCACTGAATCCTTCAAGTCGATGTTGGATGCCGCTGGCAGCATGGAAGGTTTGGAGCTCTGCCAACCAGCCAGGCAGTGCTGCAAATCGAGCAGAAAAAAGACAGAGTTCCAAATAATTACCTCTAAACTTTCTGGCCATTTTTCTCATGGACTTTACTATACTTTTTGGAGACATGCGGCGTAGCCATTAGCGCTTGTGCCTTCCCATCATAGGGTTGGGTGTTTGATCCTAGGACGTGGTCACACCCACATCTTCCTCTATTCAAATCCAACCAATGACATACCAGCAATGCCTCCCATCTTAAGTGAAAGCTCACCTGTGACAGTCCCACCGAGTCTGTTGGGTCGTAGCTTTTCCTCCGATGGGGGCGGATCTTATAGGGGGAGGCTAGGGTTGATCTTGGAATGCTCACCCTTCAAAATCGCACGCAGCACAGAGAGAGAGAAGAAAAGAAAACCAAACTGAAAACGATGAAGGTGTGAACTAGCATTATTTTATGTCACTTGGGCAGCCTCCCTGGAGGAAACAAGGCTCTACGCATCATTCCAATATTCAGATTGGTGATCAATTATCAAATATTCTGATTTTTTTTTTCAAATAGAGTATTTGTGGAGGTGAACATTCATGACATAACAAAAGAAAAAAGTCACTTATTTGATTAACACAAAATTGCATTCTGAAGCAATTTTCAAAGGGTTACAAATGACCTCAAAGGCAGCTGAATGGACATGCCTAACAAGGCCAAAATCATTCGATCAAATGGACGGTGGAATTGAAACATTTAATGTTGAAGTCCAGTCTCCGGAGTCCTGACGATGAACAGAGCATACAGTCCAAATATTGATTATCTTCAGTTCTTTTCATAACCACATAAACTCACAAAAGAGATATTTTCACATTGTGCAACTGCAAACGAACCACATGTACTTAACTTGCTCCCTTCGTCATGAAAAATTTTAAATTTCATAAATCAAATACATTCCATCGTTCAACTTGACTTAGTCTCAAAAGGAGCACCACACAGCGCAAGACCCTGCTTCTCAATTTGTAAAGGCATATTGTGAGAAGATAACATTGAAGAGATCAAGTTGGCACATGACTCAGTGGTTGGGATTAGTGACTACTGATCGCGAGGGGGGGGAATGGAAGCCAGCACCTGGCTGAAGGCTGTGTCCTTGGGCAAGTCACTTTACCCCAACTTGCCTCACTCCACCCAGGAGTATAGCTTAGAAGGTAGAGGCTTCACGAATGGTTTCAGCTGCTGAAATCAGCCTGGTGATCAGATTAGCGGGGGATATGATAAGTATAACAGTGCATCACTACGATGAACAGCATATTGATAAATATTCGCAAAGTATGAAATGACAGTTGGGCAAATGCCATTTTTTGACCACTTTTGATACATGCCTTCGGGAACAAAATCAGATGTGATCCAACAAAGTACCTGATTTAATGAAAAGGTAAAAGCCCCAAAAGCAAAATCTTCATTTTCTTCTTAAACCCTGATTTTTCTGCGGATAAAATTTCAATCACGAGACTGTGTTCTCACGTGACCTTCCATCAAAAAGTTGGTAACGGCAGAAAGAGATTGATCCTGTTTTGCCTGACTACTTTTCAATTATTATTATTTATTTGGCCATTGCACAATACAGAGAACATTACAATATGATAACAATCAACAAAAGCAATAAACAGGGAAAGAGTGGGGATACAGGGCGGAAGGGTGGGCAGTGGGAACGAAAGAGGTGCAGGGGGCGTGGGTGGGGAAAGTGGGGTCAGGGTGTGGGGTTGGAGGTTTAAGGGAGGTTATGGGATGGGAGGAAACGGGGAAGGGATAGTAGTCCACAAACCAAGCACAGTCCAACCAAGGGTGGCCAGGACGAACAAAAGTGACGAGCATTGTGACTTGAAAGTGTATTCATCCAGCCCTAGATGTGACGATCGACAAATAAATAATTTGGAATATGCTCAACGATTTAAAACTCTGGTACAATTTCATGCACTGTTTTGCCATTTGGAAACACATAGATTGCCTGCGTGAGGTTTCATGCCTGCTTCGTCTCATGCAGCTCACACCCACCTGATGTAGGACGGTGAACTGGCTCCAGGCTGCTTGGGCTGCCTACGATCGTTACAGATGGCGCACAGGCTCTCGCCGGTCTGGGTACCGTGCAAGGGCACAGCAAACAGACGAGGGTTCAAGGTGTAGTTGTGAATGCCTGATGGGGGAAAATGAGACGACCGTGTGCTGTGCAGATTGGAAATGGTGTGTTTTGGCAGGGGGAGACATCTTGTGGCCGATAAAACTATTTGCTCTGGGATATAGTGATTTCAAAATCAAGAGTCAAATGCAGTGGATTGATCTAACAGGACGTGTGAATTTTCTTTATAAATTTGGAAATTATAAAGCATTTCCAAAAATTTTTGTGGTTTCCACATATTACAGCACGAAGTGGGACCGTTAAAAGCTATAATAAACATCTGTGCCTGGTTAAATTCTCATAAAATATTTGTCAGATTGGACCATTTCAATTTGAGAAAGTCAACAAGCCTTTTGCAAGCTATATTTGAATAAAATCTGGTACAATGAGCTCTGTAAATTCACATGAATATATTAATTTGAATTCTCCATTCTAAAGACACTGTTGCTATACCTCGTGATTCGGGGCAAGCTTTTGCTTAGTTTCATTTAAGATGCCTTGCACCAATACACTGTTCTCAATGGAGAAGGGCACAAAGGAACCAGTCCATTCCAGATATGGTAGTCACTATGCAAAAGCTTGCCTTGAATCACAAGGTATAGCAACAGTGTCTTTAGTCTGGGGAATTCAAATTGTAATGTTTATGTGGAATAAGATAACTCAGTGTACCAGATTTTGTTCAGATTGAACTCGCAAAAGGCTTATTGGCAATGACCAACAAACACGGCTGAATGAAATAAGTGTATGACTGAACAAAAAATGGAGGATTCGGCTGGCAGCATCACTAGTTCTGGGTAAGAGAACAGGGCTGTCTTTGGACTTAAGATTTTTGGTGATCTTGGCACTGGCTGAAAACTTACAGGTGTGCTTGTCTGGCTTTGTTTCTTTTTCAAAACCACCAAGGACGCTTGGTGTTGCAGCTGACGCATCCAGCCTGAAGTTAGATTATACAAGGTTTTATTGAGACAGTTTCATTATGACTGAAAATTTCTGAAGCAATCGAAACAGGCTTGAAACTCAAGGGGTTAAAGACATGAGCATTGCAGGGGGTTGGGCACAGGGGCGTGTAAGCACTTGACGTAAAATGTGACCTCATGAAGTAAAGAATATCAACTCTGATCAAAAACTATGGCTAACCGCAGCTCAAAAGGCCCTCATCAAATACAGGACAGTCAATGATGATCAGCCAAGCCAACTCAACACATTTTCATAGACAAAATCCTCAAAATGAGGTTGGTGACACTGTTGGTTATCAACAGCCTGGCATACAATGTACACAGGGAACCAGCACTGTGAGTAGTCATGAAAGTGTTTGATCGCAGTTTAACTACGGCCATTTGCCCTTTAATGCGAGTGTGCAAGTGCATGTACATCATGAACCGACCCCCAATCAATCAAGCAGTGGGACTTAGCAAAAGGTCACTAAAGTTATCTTTCAAATAAGGTTGTTGCAAGGGCACAGTGAAGTTTTAGTGACTTAGATTTGGATGGGCGAATTACAAAAAGCTGTCAAATTAAAATGATTTTGAGTTAAAAAAACCTACAAGTACATATACTTACTCGCCCGTCCTCGGCTTATGAACGCATTCCTCTCTGTTAGCTTGCCGGAACTGTCGCAATTCCTCAAAGTAAGCTTCGGAGTGCTCGCTGACTGGCGCGTCCGCGTCCAGCAACCCCGCGATCCAGTCGTAGCCTAGGAGAGGCTGGCTGCGGTTGGCCACGCTGTCGTTAGGGTCAAGGGTCATCGAGGCACTCGGAGACTGACGGAAGCTTACTCTATTCCTCGACTGCAGAAAAGATTTCTTTAGAAATCATTGTGAGCCGACAATTTGCAAAATATATTCCAGTGGCGATACCTTAGCAATTTAGTAGTTTACAAATTAAAAGGAGCCGCTATAAAGATGCAAAAATGCCTCCGTTAAAAAAGTACTGTTAGCATGTAATCCCTGAGACCATGACAGGTTTGAGAATTACAATGGATTAAAAATTTGTCAGGAAATTCGGAATCCTCAATGCTCTGTATTACAGGTTCTACACGTTCAGATGGTTAAATCTTGAGAAAAAAGAGAAAACCAACAAGTGCGTACAGCCGACACTGTTTTTGTTTTTTTCATTAAGTTGATACACGACGAGTGCATTACATGTAGGTGAAGGGCGTGTTACTCTTTCAATTTCACCACGATAAAAGTGAGGTGAAACAGTAAAAATTTCAGTCAATGTGTCACAAAATAAAAGTGCTTAGGAGTCAGGATGTCACTTTGCTACATCATGCAGTCAACCGCGCGATCTCCAGGGTTATCTTCAGTGGCCGTGTCTGGATACTTGACTTCAGCTGCAAATTCTACACAAGCTCATTGAAGCAGCTTTAATTTTTGTGGAACCGTCCTACACAAGAAATATACTATATCAGGGTAACNGTTTGGCAGGTACATGTAATTTGCATTAATTCATCACACTTGGAAATTAGAAAATGTGTTCTGCACCTACAAATCACATGTCAGATGTGACAGGGACACGAAAAGAAATGGATCCCTAATTTCTGGAATTACCCATAACCATTTCACCATGTTCAGTTCTCTTACCCAAATTTAATCACTTTCATCTTTGTGTCTTTGTACAACCGAACATCAAAAACAAAACCATAAAAAGAAAACTTTGGATGCTAGAAATTTTTATTCTTTAAGTAGGCCTTACCTTGTTTAGTTTACTTCCGGGGGTCAGTAAAATGGACTTTGGTTTTGACGGATCGTCACGACTTCTCTTTGTCTGTTGTCTGTCGTTGCCTTCAGACAGGAGTTGCTTGGCAAAACTCTTCCCGAGCTGACTGATATGTGGTCTGGTGCCTTTTGGGCTGTCACTGTTTATCTGGTAATAGGATTCTTCGTGGGCTAAGTCAAGGGGTCGTCGGTACCCATACCGTGACCTCTGACCCCTTAGATTCTCTTGCTCCGGAGGGAGTAGGCTCGATGTCTCCAGTTGCACCGAGTACGGTGTCTGGGGTCGACTGTGACCAAGACTTGGGGTGAATGTGGGAACACCTGTCCCCTGGCGGTGCTTGGGAAGTTTTCTCGGTGTGTGCCTTTTCCGTCTGACGTTTCCGGATATTCCTGGTCTACCACCGCCCAGTGTTTTCCGTGAGGTCTGGCCGACGCTCACCACTTTAGTGGGTTTCCCCTGGCTTCGTCTAAATGCGGAATGACTCTCACTGAGGAAACTTTCGTACAGTTCGTTGGGAGTGTCGGTCTGCACAGGGTTCACCACCGGCAAATCTGGAAAGGGTTCTTCTCCTTGATGTGATCTGAGGTTAGGCTTGGCAGGTGAGTTGGCCAACTTTGGTGTGCTCGTAAGGCGAGAGCACGACACAGCACTTGTTGGCTCACGTCCATTCACCATTGAAAGATTTAGTGGATCTCTGCAAAAAAAAACAACTTGTAATTTTTGTAATCCCTGGACAGGTTAGACAAACCAATTCCAAAACATTGGGTTGGAAAGGTGGAATGGATATTTTAATTTACCTCGGGAACTGCACATTCAGCTCCTTTGTCTTGTCTTGAAGGACAGGCTGTCTTGAAGGGCTCCCTCTACTGATGGCAGCAGACCTGAACGCATGAATGTAAAAAGAAAGAAAAAGAAAAACCAACAAAAAATGAGGAAATCAGCTTATCTGGAGTAAAACTGCACAGTACAAAGTTGCCTTTTATGCAATTGTTTAATCAATCGCTGTCTGACAAAAACTTCATTTTACTTCATTTTACGGAAAGAGTTCCATGCACAGACTGATTCCCCTACAGTGGTTCATCAGCCATCAGCCATCAATAACGCAGCAATAACATCATAGCATGTCCTAATAAATCAAATTTGGCTGGGATTTGGAACCATTTACCAGGAAAACACTAAGAATTCTTCAAGCCAGTCTCATAGGGTTGGTGCAAAGGGTGTCAAGTGATGTCCGGGTATAGAACTCTTTCCAAAAAATGTCCCACTACATAAACACAAAGAATTTTTCATGCCCTATAGAGGTTATTACGTGTAGTTACAGGATAAGGGACAATTAAGTTTTCGGTTTTAGAGGTGGGAAGAAAACCCTGTACAAATTTTTTGAGGAAAACCCAACGACTCAGGTAGGGGCTGAAAACCAAACCACACGTGGACCAAGCGGTTCAAACTCAGGAACCCAGAGGAAGGCTAGGCAAGAACTACGATGTCAACGTGACTCTTCTATGCACAAGGTGTCAAGTGATGTCCGGTCATCGAACTCTTTCCAATTTCGAACACTGACCAAATTAAACATAGGTGCTCAGCCTCACCTGAAGGATGTTCGCAAGTCACGCTGTCCCTTTCGCAGTTCCTCAAGCAACGACAAATTCTGTGCTCGAAGTCTCTCCATATCACTCAGCTCTGCCATGTCCGTGCAGGAATCACGGAAAAGGTCTCTCAACGGTATACCAGAAGAATATTGCAGCCTGACTCTATCTTAGGAGCCAAAATACCTACAATTCAAAAAATAAACTTTAAAGTACATGTAACTTTCATGGAGAACACCTTTCAATCTTAACCCCAACAGTCCTCAATCCTGCACCTGTTGGAGGACTGAGGACAGTTAGGGTTGAGGCTTCTGCACACCTGACTGTCTGATCAATGCTGAAAGCAGTTACACATAGAGTGCTAAAAACACAAACATAACTGATATTGACACATTGTGTGCCAAAATACCAGCTAAACAAAGTCTATTGGTAAAGATGTATCAAGTTTGCGGCATATTCATGTAGTCGAAGTAACCACATGTAGGACTTTATTGGACAAGGCCAATTACTCAGTCTAACGCCAGTGACTGTATCTGCCCCGGGCTGAAAAGCACCATCAATCAGCCAAAGAAGGGCAGATGGTTGAAAGCGGGTTCTTGCACAAGTTCAAAGACCATACATGCCACAATAAATTAGTTACGCGTACTCAGCGTGCTCCGCGTCAAACGCAGATACATGTATCCTTGTGTGCCTCATGGTGCACCTACGTAGTGAGTACCAAAAAAATGCCCTCTTTTGTTCTGTTCGGAGCGGATAGTCTCCAGGTCCCTTCCACTTACTGTGAAAACCAATCAGACTTGACAATAAGTGGCAAAAGTAGGGATCTGGCGACTATACCATCATGGGCATTTGGCATCCATGGCACTTCAGACTCATTCAGTTGCCATGGTCATTACTCACTGCAAATGCAATGTGTCTGATTCCTGCCATCATGGTCATGGATATAGGCTATGCTGTACTGCGGTATGCGATAAAACTATGGAGGAATACGATTAATACAATCATGGAGACAGAAAAACCAGTGGCGTAACTAGGGCTAAATTTCCGGGGGGGGGGGGGGTTCGTGGAGGGGAGGCAACCAGGATGGGCACATTTTTTTCATCGTGGCACCACCATGACAACAAGAAAACACACTGCAGCTACATGTGCATTTTCACAGAGACTATTTAAGGATCTCAAATGGGGGGGGCACGGGCATCCGCTGGGAGAGCACATATCCCCTCCCCCCATTTGAGGGAAAACTGGAAGTTAGCTCGAAGCCTACTTTAGAAGTCTAAGTCACTAGGCCTACTCCATGCACACGGAGTATTGACTTACATGTAGGTATGTTAAGAGTTCTTAACTCTTTATTTAATAGCGAGTCCATCTGACCCGCACAAAACACAGAGGTTATTTACCAACTGTGGGAGGTGTAAAGTTAGATTCTTGTTTCTTTTGCCCTCCATTATTTCTGTTGCAACCAGAATGCCAGCAAGGGCTTTGTTAGGGGGTGTGCATCCAGACTGCTCGCCGAACGTCGAACTGTTATTTATTCAGCACCAAATATCAAACTGGCTGTACAGTATAAATTATAACTTTAACATTGAATGTCTAAAGAGTAACTAGGCCCCTAGCCCAGTAATGCAATGCCCCCTGCAAGCTGAAGTTCACAACGATCCCACTGCAATGTTAGTTACTACTTCTTGTAGTGGGGATTGTATACTAGGGGACCCCTAGCCCAGGTTGGACGACGTCAACACAGTCACAATGTAATTTAGCCATCGTCCAACCTGGGCTAGGGGAAACCATGGAGGAGGTGTTCCTTCCTCCATGGGGACCCCAAGTTTAAATTGGTACAGTGTTAGGCCCAAGTCCCCCCCCCCAAAAAAAATAAATAAACAAAGGCAACACTGTCTAAAATTTAATAGTATTATAGGTTCATGGTCCAACCCGGGCTAGGTTACAAGTAGACCCGTAAACAGGGCCCGACGAATGTTCCTCCATACGACGGAGGAGTATTCGTTGGGCCCTGTATACGGGTCTAGTACTAGGCCTTGGCTACTGCCAGACTGCCGCCTAGGCTTCTTAACTTACATACAATGTAGGGCCTCCAGGCGTTTGATCAAGCTACATGAAGCATAAGGGTAGGGTTTGAAAGAACTTGTATGAAAGATGGATGGAGCACCGATCGCAGAGTTTCTACATGTACCACAGTAGGACTAGTACTACTAGTAGGCAACTCCATCTTCCATGATTTGACAACGCGGCGCGGAGAGCCTAGGCTTTGGGGCATCTGCGAAACTTAAAATTAAATAGCCCGGCCGCGACATATCGATCAACAACATGACAATCGATCATTCCCGAGATGCAATTGGGCGGACGCATGATCCACTAGAATTATAAGGTGTGCTACTTTTTTTCCTATAATAAGAAAAACTAGAAATTTTGGTATTTTTGCTCAACAAACTTACTTGCACGAAAGTATAAATACTGAATATCATTTTGAAGCCATTGTCTCTGAAACATTACAACACATAAGCTTAACGGCCAAAATCAATTTAGACTGGAGAAATCGTCCATGACAGTGGAAGAATCCAAACAGGTTTCATGATCTTTGATCTCAGCCTCGACTCCATGGGCTGCGAGCGCTTCCCTTGACTCGAGCAACGCAGGCATGGTGGAATCAATGGTGGGAACCGACATGGCCAGGCAAGATCGTACCTATGGGAACGAGATTGCTCTGCCCCCGACGAGTGGCTTATCGATATCGTGCACTTCGGCACTGTTCAGCACTTCATCAAAAACTAGGAGTCTCACTGCATAGACTGTGTGAAGTAGCCGCGTATAATCATTGTCAATAATTATCGATCAGTTTTTATGCAAAAGCAAGGACGGGCTTGTAAAAATGATGTGGCATTCATACTAGGCGGTTTCACCATGTTCACAGTTCACTGACCACACATAATACCCACTCCACACTTGATTGCCAGACGGATCGCCCTTTGCATGCCTTGTGTCCAGAAACAGCACTCCCAAATGATTCGGCAGCGAAAACACGACGACGAAAAAGTGAAGCAAAAGCTCGGGAGCTCGCCATCTCCGAAGCAGGGACTGGTGCCCCCTCCTCCAAAGGACTCTTCCCTGGCGTCTACCGCCGAGGCGGACGACACAAGAAGCATGCACTACGTTAACAATTCCCGTTCCAAGGCGCGGTTCCGGCAGTTTGGGCCACCGACCGGCCTTCTCAGTTGCGTGTTCAGGCTGAGACTGATGCGGACGTTTCTCATATTGGTGGTAGCTGGTGTTTCTGGATTCGTGGTCGGGCGAGCCCTCCACAGTGGATTTGTCGCTGGACCGAGTGACGGCTTCGAGTTTGACGCACACATGACACAGGCTGATCGTGAACTCGGGGATCCTCGGAATGAAAATCATGCTAAGGTACATGTACATCAGGGGGGCTCACACCAGCAGTATGCCAGTGCTAATCAGCATGATCAAAGGGACACGATGAGGGAGGCACCTCAGAAAACCCAGCAACATATGGAGGCCCCGATCCAGCAGCCTTTATTGGACAAAGCTCATCAGCCCGGTGCAGGACAGGAAGACAGCCCGTTGAGCCCGGAGGAAGAACGCCACTTCCAGAAAGTATACAACGAGCATGCTGCCCGAAGGCAAATGTGGCAAAAGGCAATGGCGGAGAAGTTGGCATTGCAGAATAATGCTCAGCAAAATGCGGCCAAGCCACCCCAAGTGCAGCAAAACATCATGCAGCAACAGCCTCGGGTTGTCCAACAGCCGGTCATCCCTCGTCAGGGGGCTCAGGCACCTGGGGCCAACACGGCCAACCAACCCTCTGGGCAGCAGTACGCCGACGGGGTCTTACGAGTCAACCAACCCATGATACAAGACGCTCCAAGCGATGCTGAAATCTATCCCTACCACGTCATCCAGACACTGACAAACACGCACAAAATGCCCCATCTGAAGACCCGATTTATCGAATGCACAAAGTCCATCCTGGCCAAGGCGTCCATAAACCTGCACTTTTTTTTCGTTGTGGACGAGCCCAGTAAAACGTTTGTCCTGGAGACTTTGCAAGACATCACCAACCAGCACATTGCTAAAAGCAAATTCCAAGTATGTCTTTGACAGTGTCGGACATCAAAATAATTTGAAATGTAATCCGAAAAATGTAAAGAGGGGTGGGTCTTAGGATTCAGGAAAGAATGGTGGGAATGGATATATTCATGTAGTCTTGGATGTGCAATCGCAGAAATTTACTGGTAGTTTGAAATACTTACATGTACCGGTACATTACTGCTGCAGTACACAAATGATTAAAAAATTTAGTCGTTGGAACAAAACAAACGTAATTATGAGTAAGTAAATAATAGATTTTAACTGTACATGAACATACTAGTAAGTGTCACTCCATGTAGTGTTGCAGTTGAGTCCACAAGTCTGTTTTAGTAACACTAACAAGGGACGAAAGATTAATTTGAATGGCTTCTGAGTTGGCTGTAGACTGGATGCCTTGTGATGGGCTTGAAGGGACTTGTGATGGACTCAACTGCATCAACTGTAGTTGAGTAGCACTCAACTACAGGTAAATTATTCATTAAAAAATTTAAAAGGAATAGACATTTTCAATAGGGCAAGAAGTATTGTTCATCTCGTAAATCTTGCTAAATCGTGGCTGGAGATACTCCTAGACATGAGACGCTATTCAAGTGATAATGTACAACTGTGCATTATTGCAACTGATTTTGTACATGGTTCATCAACAGTCTGCCGGTCAGTACAACTGAATATTGGATCAAATGGAAGGTCAAATATTTTATTAGTGAATTATTCAAATGGACTCAGCCCTTTAAGACTCTCCTTTACATCAAAAAGAAGTCAGAAGTTCTGAACTTAAAGGATACATGATGACATCCATCTATGTTCCTGTTGGTTGTAATCATAAAACTTAATACGTGATTTCATTCTTTCCAATAGTTCCACTTCATCGAAGTTGATCAACTTGCGCAACAACTCGCTCCCGTAGTCTCCATGCTTCAGGAGCGCGTCACCGGTGGCCACCCGTACTACCAAGATGCCATCTTCTTTCTCTCTGTGGCGATCCATCGCGGCATCCTGCCCAGCTACGTCCGCCGCGTGGTCATGCTGGACACCGACCTGAAGTTCATGGCGGACATCCGGGGTCTGTTTGACCGTTTTGACCTCTTCACCGGCGACAACATCATGGGCATAGCCCGGGAGATGCAGCCCGTCTACCGCCACCTCCTGTCGCTCTACCGCAGCCAGAACCAGGGGACCAAAGTGGGCGGACCGCCACCAGACGGCCTGACGGGCTTCAACAGCGGCGTGGTGCTGCTGGACCTCGAAAGGATGCGGCGCAGCGCTGCGTACCGGTCCTTCGTCAATGCCGAGAAGATCCACGAGCTGACGGAGAAGTACCACTTCAAGGGCCACTTGGGGGACCAGGACTTCTTCACCTTGATCAGCTTGGAGAAGCCTGACTTGTTCCACATTCTGCCTTGCTCCTGGAACCGGCAACTCTGCGTTTGGTGGCGGGATAAGGGATACACTGATGTGTTTGACCAGTACTTCAAATGTGACGTGGCAATTAATATCTACCACGGCAACTGCAATACTCCAATCCCTTTCTAGAAAATACATATTATTTACAGGTTGGCATTAGGCCAGGACTCATAACTCATAAGGCCAAACAAAAAAATAGCTGTGCGTCCGTTTACCCGACCCAACCTAGAAAATCACACGAAACCTATATCTTTTTATTCGACAAATCAATAAAATGTAAAAACTTGTGGAGCCTTGCCCCGAGCCTAATTTTGTTTGCATCGTCCTGTACATTGTATTATTTTAATTTTTTGGGGGGGCATGAGATGGACAGCAATGCAATAATTGTTGGCTTGATGAATTTGTGGTGCATGTACATGTACAGTATTAATCTGACACTGACTCAGTGCCTGTTACAAATATACCAGCCCCCCCCCCAAAGAAAAAAATACAGACCATCATCTGACCCTAATTTTTGGGGGCTATAAAAATTTTGAGTAAAAAAAATATTTTACCCAACCAACCTCCCTAATTTATTTTCCAGTGTAATAGGAAACACAACTAATTTCTTGTTTGGCCTAAATACAAGTTACAGGAACCAGACACATAACCAGGGAGTGTACAAACAAAGAAAAGGCAAAAAATTCACACAATTGCGATTTTTCAGAATTTGCTCAAAAAGAAACAGTCTCTTGTTGTAAATAACGGTGCTCTATATGTCAAATTGATTGGATGTACATGTACCTACATTGTACATTAACCAGAATCCTTTAAGGAGTTTTATGTACAATGTAGACGGATTTCATACATGTAGGCAGGCTCATCCAACTTGCTGGTGCTTTCCATTGGGCTTGTTACTTGTAGAAAATTTGGATACAAAAAAGTGCCTGGTAGGTTATTGCGGACGGTGGCAGATTCGGGGGATTTTAAGAGGAAGGTTCAATCTATCCTTCAAAAGCCACAAGTGATTTCTGGTTTTTGTGGCATTTAGAAAGGAATGTTCACGAGCTGCCGCGCCATTGCAACATGTTCATACAGTGTATGCCGTTGGGTTTTTTCCCTGCTCAGTGGAGGATTTTGCAGTATTCTGAACGATTTTTCCCAAAAGTGTGTCTGGTCAAAAGACAAATCAATTGTTTTTGGCAGCTTAAAGTCCGCTTCTGATATAAAAAGCCCAAACCAAAAGTTTTACGAGACATTTGAAATTTGTCACTTATGAAACCTGTCATCTAACAAGCTTCTCAGAAATGGAAAAATGTACCATGCTTGAGGAAAAAAATCCGAGGTGTACAAGTACTATTTTATTGCACTAAAGTAAAGAATTTAAATGTATGTGTACATAGGAAGTCGTGTACAACCGCTGGAATAGTTTATTTGTAGCTGTATTCTCTCTGTATATTTTGTATGGTGAAGAAGGACTTTGTTTGCACAGTACTTTTCGAGGAACTATTTAATGAAATCAGTCAAACTATGGCTGCATCCGAATCTCTTGTCTAGAGCTAGGTGTAGGTCTTCGTTCCATTGGAAATGTGTGAAGACGCGCAGACAATAGACCTAGCCGTAGCTCTGGAAGCCCGTTTCGGACACGGTCTATCTCTCATCCTGTTTGCCAGTCTCTAGGTGTACTGTATATATTAAACAGATGTAATTTTTCTATCATCATTTAGGCCAGGAATTTTAAAGAGTCTGCTTAGCAGGTTTTTTTTTACTTCAAACTTTCCAAGTGCAACTCTGTGTCTCAGTTAATCTTATTTTAGTGTTTATTCCATTATTTCAAAGGGTATTTTGCAGCCTTGTTGGTTTTCATGCTGATTACATGTATCCACATCTGTGAGCCAAACTGGGAAGTCATCCTGTGAAGAATACCTGAATGTCATGGTGGTTTGTGCGCAAAAAGTGCTGGGTTTGTAAAAAATATTTTGCTGGTCTAAATGTTCGTTTGTTCACTGTTTAGTTAGTACTGTACATATGTACATGCATGTACATGGCAACAAACCAGAGAGTAACCCTCTTAGAAATGTGGGCAGGTCCACGACCACAATCTTAAAGCCTGGTTTCTATATGGTCGTTTTTAACGCAGACGGAATGCAAGACGTGAAGATGCAGACAAGTATGGAAGAGACGGTGCATGGCGTCATCCCACCTTGAAATTGAAACAAAATGGCGTCCAAAGCTGTGATTTTTTTTTAACGGAAAATATGCTTGTAGATTGACTGTACCGCCTCATGATGCCAAACCTCTGCTCCAGTTTCATGCATGTCATTGATGGTCAGCTACATGTATATCTAACATTAATAAGGTGAAAATGGGCAAAATTCCTGAACCTAATCAGGAGGGACACTGTTACATGCCAGTCATGCCAGCATGGAGGTTTGTATAGGGATACCACGGCTACGTACTTGACGTAGACAGTTGGTTCGCCGATCGTTCTCGGGCTGGTTTGCGTTTGTCTGCGTTGTCGTTGACACCTCCTTTTGGCATGTTCCCATATGTCCGCATTGCAGTTTGCGGCTTGATTGCGTTGCTGTCTGCATTTCTTAGGTCGATATGGAAACCAGTCTTAACTGAAAAACCTACGCACAGAATGACATCCTGGCAACAGTACCCTTTCATGTCCTGGAAAGCATGGACAATTTTGAGTGTATAAAAAGTGACTTTTTTCAGTACATTTAATCAAACACGAACATCAAGTAACTTTCATAAATTAGAGAAGAGTAAAAGATGCAGGAAAAAATCTCCAAAAATTCATTGCACGTTGGCTACCGATTACGAGGATACTCGTCATAACAGGTGTACCGGATTCTGCCACTACGGTTATAGGCATAGGAAATGAAAGGCTATTGTAATGTAAATTGAATACACTAAAGAACACAAAGAACACTGCTGGCAGTGGCGAGGGCATACATCTGTGAAAGGCTCATATTCAGATAGTCACCTGAAAAGGACATGTACATGTACCTATTAATTTATTAAATATGCACCCATGTGTACAACGCTTGGGATTTGTGGGAATGCCCTGTGAAATTATGCATGGCAGTCGATGTGTTAATATGGAGAAATGCAGGAGAGAAACTATCTAGTGTAAGTGGAAGTCGAGTTTCAGAATACTGGTGCATTGTACCAATGGGACCTATTTCACGTACCACAATAGTACATGTACATGTATCTTGTATATGTATCTTGTACATGTACATGTCTTGACCCAAAGTTCATTTCTTTCTAGCACCTGTATATTGATCATTTTTATAAATTTGGAGCCTGATTTTTTGTGCGTGTGCCCCTGACACGATCTGTCCTTTCAGAACGTGCTCTTTAATTTCCAAGAGTGATGGAGTTAAATGCAAATTACCTGCCAAACAAATAAGAACAAATTGAAGTCTCTTTTAATATTTCCCCTGTCAAATTACACAGATCAGGTGTAACAGACACAAATATGTCACATCTTTGGCCCACATGTACTGAAGTGGAGTGCTGATGTAATGTAAATTTCTGCAGTGAGGTTCCCGTAATTTAGTTCTCATAGCAGAGCAAGTTTTCTTTATATAGTTTTCGATACATGTACTTAAACATACCGGCCAGTGTACATGTTGAAAGTGTACACACTGTACATCTGCATGTATGCACTACACCAAAGTTCTTTCAGCTAGTTGTTTTAAATCTTTTTCTAACTTTTTATTGCCACGCACTCCTCGCCTGTAACAAAGCAGTCTCCTTTTAGAAGGGACCTGCCATGGATGAACGGGTGAAGGAATTTTCCAGCGAGAGTGCAGTGAAAGGGCAAAATGACCCCGTAATTTGGTTGCCCATTTAAAAGGTTTGCTTTTCAGATCATTTGTTGCCTATAGGGAGTTGGCATGAATGGTTGCCCCACCAAAGCAACCCTCCTTTGTGCTGTGTCTGGATGACAGAAAGACGTCGGGGAAAACTTTGGCAGGCAGGTTTATACTGGTATTTGGGAGGGGGGGTTGTATTATGGCATTATATTTTCCAAGAGCTTGCATGTATATTTGAGCTATGTATTATTAAATGATGGATTCTTGGGGTAAACTGTGTTTTAAGTGTTTTTTTCTACTCTCCTACTGATTATGTACGTTTGCCATAAAAATTTGCAAAATATAAAAAATTCAATAGTCTATTAAAACCAGTGTGGCATTTGTTTTTTTTAATGAGTTGAAATTCATAGTTGCATACCTGTGTGAACTTGCAAAGAGTTGATAAGTATGTAAAACACAGTACATGTACCCGCATATGGTTTGTTGCCCAAACATCACCCTGGCTATGTTTTGTAACTAAAAAATTACATCTGTGTACAGGTCAGGAAAATCAATACGTGTGTGAGGCCTTGAATTTTTTTTAAAAAACCATCCAGAACATATATTCTAAGTGCACGTTTCCACCACTGGATGGCAGTGTGTGCATATCGGATAGCCATCAGTGATTTTATTAGAGTTACGCGTATGCCTCTGTCGAATGGACGTCCAGCCCGACGTGCAAATTACATGAAGGCATAGCGAGCGACATGAGTTACATGTAATTGATTGCATAAGACAAATTCTGTGGTACTTCTGGGCAGTGCTTCCCCTGCGATAATAAATAACATGCATTGTTAAGATTTCAGGTCTCAAATGACACCACAGTCTGCCCCTGGCTTCTTTGTGTTTGATAGATACAATGCCATCCATGTGTCCATTTACACCCATGCACACAAGTATATGGCATGTATATTTTGAATGCATATATACGGTCAGCTCTTTTCATGTCAGTTTTTCTGTCAGAAGGCTTCTAACTCTATGACTGGTCCTTGGTACAAAATAGAATAATTCCTAAAGTGTTACAAATCCCAGGCAGCTATCAAAATGCCAGATAATCATATACGTAGTAAAAAATAAAAATACGACCCTCTCTAAATTTAATGGGACAAATGAACACTTCGAATAAATTTGTGGTGAAAATTGAGAAACAATCAATGGGCAGTTTTCCTGCCAACGTTGGCCGCCCATACAAAGTGCAAGCATAACGAGAGTGGTCTATACAAAACTGCAACGGTGACTGGTGTAATTTTCTGTATCCTGTGCGGGGGAACTATGGCATATTTTTCTCGTCAGTAGCAAATATTTCTACTGCATTTACATGTCTGTGTCAGAGAGGTCCGCCATGAAAGGCCAAGTGAAAAAACAACAGACCCCTCCCACAGCCTGCCAAAACCTCCTTGTCAGAAGAGTTAGGTTTCATGTTGTTCCCCATCAAAACTTGAATATGCCACTCCATTGGTGCGCTGGTACATAATAGGTGTGCGTGTACAAGAATGCCTACGTACATTGTACATGAAGTGTTACGCATCTAGGCACGACATGGTTTGTGAACGAGTTACATGTCCCACAGGTCTCCCTCCCCACACACTTGATCAGAAAACAACAGGGTGGGGTTTTATGGATTAGTCCATTAATGGCTGATGCCAGATGGTCTCAAAATTCCCCCCCCCACCTGACAAATGTTTTGCCACTGCTGGTTGGCAGAAGTTTCACAGTAGTGAAGAAAATTCATGTTTACATATTTTCATCGAGTTATTTACGTTAATACGATGCCACCTTAATGTGTACATGTACACACGTGTACAATTCCCTACATTTACTGTTTTTAATGTGCATTTTGTATTCCAAATTTTTGAAAGCATATTAATGCATTAATGTGAATCGAGTAAAATATGCCGTAGAATCAGCATTGTAATTGTTTTATTTTTACACAAAAAAGAAGGAAATTTGGGATAATAATTGTTTCAGTAAAGCCACCTAACTTTAGCAAACAATGAAAATGCCATGAATTACATGTAAGCAATACCCTTTGAGAGAGATGAACATCTCAACCAGTTTTCAATACATGCATTTAAAATTATTTCAAAAGAGTTTGATTTTTTGGGGGGGAGGGTTAAAGATATTTGTAAATTTGTGTCCGCTCATACAAAAGAATTGCGTTTGCGCTTATCCAAATAAACCCAAGAACAGCTTATTGTTGCGTTTATTGCATTTCAATCCTGCGACTGATTCACAATGGTCCCCGATATCTGTCTGGGTCTAACGGAACACAGCCCAAATAAGAACAAGGAAATCGGCGCGGATTGTTCACAGGTGACAGTTTATTAATAACACTGACTGGCTCTGCTGAAAGATGTAACTAGACTGTATTCAGTTACAACGGAAGTTGGCTGGGTTACAGAACTTTGGTCTGTCAGAGGACTGTTTTTTTCTGTTCATAAGCAGTTTATATGAGCAAAAAGTTGTGTTTTCTGAGTATATCACATTGAAAAATGTGATTTTGGTAACTAAAATCAAACTGTTTGACGCTACTTTGCTGGGATTGTGCACATTATGGTGAAATATGGGAATAGGGTGGTGCAATATGCACTCTAGCAGGTGCATGCATCACCCACGTGAATTGGCGTAATGGAGATTACTCTCACTGAAGCACACAGCCTGTATGGACTACAAGGTTAGGGGGCCCCTGATTAATTGGCGTTATTGAACTGCGTCTCCCTTTTAACCTTTGGGATTCCCAACTAACCAATGTTTGCAAAGTCCAACACCTGTTTATAACTATGAAGAGTATTTTATAAAAGCGATCACGTCCGTCATTAATGTTGCTGAAGGCGCTGCATCGTTATTTTTCCTCCCATAAACATAGGGTATGGCGCAAACAGCTTTCACCACGACAACCATCTCTGCCCTAACCATACTAACAGGTACATGTACCCATTTATACTCCTGGGAGGGGAGAGGCAAGCAGGGTTGGGGTTACAGCTCCTTACCGCCAGGTTTCATGCCTCTGCCTTTGTGCGGTATCAGCAAATGAGAATGACGTTCAAATTCTGATAAAGGCAAGGAGAGGTGCAAACAGGGTTTACACTGCGGAGTATTGAGTTTTCACAAATGTAGGATGATACCTCCCAGCAAAAAATGCACAGGAATAAAGGTTACATCAATTAGTGTGCAATGTGAAGTTCCCAAGCCCTGAATCATCTCAATAGGTCTGTTGGTTGATACAGTGGAACACCTACACACTTAATTAATTACATCTAGATACAAATCTATCCCTCGTAGAACCTTGGTAGCTCGTTGCCAAGGATTGTCTTTCGTTCGACGCCGTCTTTTGTGATAATAGCTAGCCGAATGATGCCACCACTCGAACCATCTCGCATCATGGCCAGGGCCAGACCTGTCGAAAGAAACGGGTAAACAAAGGAACCAGAAACATTCTGAATCCTGCCAAAGCCGCAAGAGGGTAAATGGGGGTTGAGATGGGGTTGGGCTGGGGTGAAACCATACCAAAATGGCGTGACCTTCTTTTAAAAGCCCAGTATCATATTTGCAGTTGTTCATAATGTAACTGATGAAATTATTGTCAAAATGCATTCCTGTACTTGGTTTAACCACTCAGCACCGGGGAGCCTGGTACCGGAGACGTTGACTTTATACGCATGGCCAGGTTGCCCAAAATCGGACAAACAGAACTGGGCATTGTAACAAAAAAAACGGACTCAGAACAAAATACCGAGCTACTGGGAATTCCCAAAAAGTCTCAGCACAGAGTGCTGACATTTGGGGAGGTAATCTATCATTGTTTTGAAACAGTATACCAGAATGCTACATTCAGCGCCTGCGGATTATCAGCGAGGACAAAAGTCCTCCAGTACTCAAGCGATGATTGATACAGTACCACTGCAACGGTAATCTGGCCGCATTTGTAAAGACACCACTGCTGTTCAGCAATGCACTGGGCCAATTTTGGGAACAAAGAAAATTACGGAACACCGCACAATGTGGGCTCTCTTTACTGGGCGGCAGGCCTGGCTGCAATACTCCGGCGTCAATGGAGTTCTTTTTTTTTTTTGTCATGTCAGATTAGATTAGCCACCAGACAGTCATTCAGGTACATGTGTAGGTGTAAGCGTCCAGTAAATGAGGTTATGAAAGTTTGAACAATCATGAAAAATCATGAAAAATCGCCTGGCAACTCGTCTTGCATGTGCAAACTCCACCCAGCAGGAAGTAGTTAAAGATAGTTATATAATTTAACACCTTGTCAAATACTTCTTTCAGGTAAGATGTCATTTTGAACGAAACAATGAAAGATGCCATGAGTAGTTTATTTTTAATATGGATAATTCAACATGCTGGCTCCATGTACAGGAACTTGAATTTTTGTCCAGATAATAGATACTTAAATGTTTTTCAAATATCAGATTGAATAAGTCCTTTCTTCTTCCCACTTCACGGAATGCCACGATATATCAAAGATTTCCTGAAATTATCTATGCCCTCAAATGGAAGTCACTCCAAGCCCGCCTTGCTTATGTTGACCATATAATTGGCCTATCCCAGGCAGCCTCTCGGTGGTGCCCTCTATGGGCTCTGAGCTGGACCAAGAGAGGGGCAAGTTTCCTTGCTACGGAGGCTCACAAACGACTTTGAAACACAAATATTGCAGCCGCATCGCTGTCAACAAAATGAGCAACCCTGACCAACGTGGCTCTTTTCAGCCAATGAAAGTTGCTCCTGCTCAGGGCAAATAGGGAATAGCCCTCACTGATGGCATGATTTGCTTTTTCACAACTTACCATTTGCAATGAACTGGAGGCATTCCTCCTTGGTCATGTTCTCCTTGTAGGATGAGTCAAGGTAACCATAGAGATACGTGCTTCCTGAACCTCCCATGGCAACCGGCTGACGTACAATCATGCCCCCAATTGGAACGGAATATACCTGTTGAGACAGGAAGAAATGCCGATGGTGAAATGACGAGGGCCAAGGTTAAATGGAGTAAACAGAAAGATGGAGTTTTGTAGGGCTGAGTCAATTGGAATAATTCACCATTCAAATATTCGACCTTCAATTCGATCGAATATCCGAATATTCAGTCGTACCGACCAGCAGATTGTTGATGAACAAACCACATACAAAATCAGTTGCAATAACTGTACATTATGTAATAGCTTCTCACATCTAGGAATATCTCCAGACACGATTTAGCAAGATTTAAGAGATGAGCAATTCTTCCTGCCCAGTTAAAAATTTCTATTCCTTTTAAAGTGTTTGATGAATAATTTACTTTTGAATCGTTGAAAGATTTCTGATGCTTTTATTTAAATCTGCTTGAAACAAGCCTCCATAGTGCAATTTTTTAAAATTAAAATAAACGAAACTCTTCCCTTCTTTTTCATTAATTTTGCATTTGAACATTTTAATTCGGAAAATAATATTTGAATTTTCGATAATTGATCGAATATTTGGCTATTTTGATATTCGGCACCGCCCTAGACTTTACTATATATCCCTTAACCCCTTAATACCCAGTATGCAAAGCTCTGTCTAGCAGCAGGTCTGAGTGTGAAGGAACGCTTGGAAGTGGCTATCAAATGTCTTTGAATAACAGGGATATTTTGATTAATTTTTTGTTTCATTGAAGATGGAGTCATGGGATGTGGATCAATTTCTGCCTCCTTACTCCCTACCTGTCCGCCTTTGACTTTGTCCCATCCGGCTACAAGGATCCCTGCCGACAGTGAGTCTCTATACTCGTAACACATGTTCCTGAACAGGTTGGCCGCTGTTCGGACGAGGGGGGCCTCTCCTTCGTTCATGCTGTAGAGACAAGCAAACGAAAACCCATCAATTATTGGTAAATTGTTCAAAGGTCACATTTTGTTCTCCAAGCCGGCAAATTTATTATTCTGATAAATGTCCAGCATCAATCAAAATTATCGGGACTACTACTGCGAAGATCACCGAAGCTTGAAAATCACCGAGAAATACAGTCAGGTGTTCCATTCACGCCAATGCTAGTGATATTTGATAGCACTTTATCAATGCATTGGCCTTGATTTGAAAAGCGAGATTAACTTTTCATTTTGGGAACCTGGGAGTAAAACTGAAGGTAATCAAAGTTCCTGACAAACTTATGTCAGTTTAAACTGCATCTAAAGTTTGTAAGAAATTATATTGAAAGGTTTACACCATATTGTTTGAAAAAATGACAGTGAGGCTTGGAACCCCGAAAAGTCTAGCATCACCCTATGAAAAAGATTACACACAATTAAAGATTTGGGGATCTAAAATAGCTTAATCAGGAGTAAAGTTGAATATCGTTACACCTGACTATTGGAACATGTTTCAAAAATAGACTCAGTGCTTGCCTAAATGAAATGTGAACTTGGCCTCTGTGTACAAAACTCTGCCTTACAGCCAACAGCAAGTCTGACCAAAGACCACTGGTCAGAATGTCATCACATGATCAGCATGAGAAATCGAAAGTGGTCGTACTGCCCGGAGCAGCAACAAAGCTGATGGGTCGACCAGACAAGCTGGCCGAAATTTCCAGCTTGGGCAACTTTACCCACTTTTTGTGCTGCAAATGTCACTGCCATGAAAATGAGACTTCAACCAGCGTCCACGACTTTCCATTCCGATTTCATCCACTTTGGCAGTGTTACTGAAATGAACTTTGTAGTCTAAAATGTTTCCATCAAACAAACCTGATGCCGAGCCACATTTATACCTAGTTAACATGAATTTCAAATAACAGGATTTTATCCTTTTAGCCCTCATCTTCAATCCTCCAAAATCTTGCAAGCAGTTTTGGAGGAATTTGAAGAATTGAGCCTGTATGGCAAATCTCCAAAAGGACGCTTTGTGTCGAGGTCTTGGGTTAAACCTGGTCTTGTTTTATGCTCTGCCATGCATAAATTCAAGCCAAGATTGCACGGAAAATCATCCATACTGCTCCAGGACACTGTTTGCACTGCCCCAACATGGCAGGAATTTCCTGAGGATTTTTAAAGGATTGTGGCCTCCACAGAGCATGTTCAAGAAATATCAGGAGGTTTGTGGAGGATTTTTAAGGCAGAAACCAATTTTTCCATGGAGGTAGTTGGAGGATTTTGAAGGATCGAGGATGCATCCAAGCCAAAAGGGCCTAATTGGGCACAGGGTTATATACATCACCACGAGACAAATGTCACCAAAATTTGCCAGCTGTTTCCAGAACACTTACTGGCCAAGTGGCTACTAGACATCTACACTAGCAAGCAAAAGACTGGAGGTCAACGCCACGCCCCACCCCCCACAGTGTGAGTGCTAACAAGAACAGTGACAGTGAACGGCACTTTCCTAACCTACACAAGAAGGACACAGCCCACAAACGCTGTGGTAGGAAATGGAAACTTTGTGCGACGGTGGGACTTGCCTGTGGAAATCCAGCTGATAAGAGACGATGTCGGCGATGGCTTGGGTGTCTGCTGCCGAACCTGACCGACAGCAGTAGATGTAATCGTGGACCTTGGTCAGTTTGTCGGTCACCCGGTTGCCAATGTAGGCACTTCAAAACGCAAAAAGAACAACATGTAGGGAAGGCGTGATTGAAGAAAGTCAGAAATCCACTGAAAACGTTAGGGGACCCAAAAACTAAATTTCAGAAGATGATGTAACATAATCCATTAATCTGAACTCTGAACTGGATAAAAGTAACAAACCACTTTTTAAAACCTGTTTCTCATTCTTAGACATGACAAATTTTCCAGTGGCATATTAACTTGGGGGGATGGGGGACATGGTGGATATGTAGCCCAGGTTGGATGTCGTCTACACTGCATTGCGACTAACGTACAGGGTATAAAAGTCCTCCTGCATTGCAAAATTTTTTTCAATGTTTTTTTCTCAAATGATACCCTGCAAAGTCAGCTTAACCCTAACTG